TCAAAGTTCAAACATTTGAAAATATATATTTCTTCCTCATGAACTCTTAGATGAGGGCATGAAAAGGACATGGCTTAAAATTCATCATGACAGCTCAAGAGCAATCATACAATCATGTGAAGGTTCTTGAGGTTTAAGCTATCACAATTTTAACCATGTGACAATTTTAAATTTTGTTAAATTCTTACTCAAACTCACAAGATGACTAACTAAACATTGATTAATTTAAATTTTAAGTTTTTTTTGTCACATTGTACATACCGCAATAGTTTAATTCTTATTCCCCTCGTAACTCTTAACCTTGATTAATTTAATCAAATTGGGTTAATATATGAAAAAAGATTATAGCCCCGTCACAGAATAGTTCCGTGAGGGATTTTCGCTTTTAAATATGTATGCAAGTTAGTTATTACAGATAATAAAATAAAATCTCTCACGGAAACATTTCGTGACGAGATTGCACTGTTTTCCTAAGATATGATTCAAATGAGGAATCACTATTCACTAGTAGATTAAGTAAAAATTATATATCTAAATATGGAAAAAAAAAAATAAATTTATAAAAAGCAACCTAAATGAACACATGATAAACTTTATAAGTGAGATTACCGAAAACTCCAAATTATTACCATTTAATTTAGAAAATTTATAAACACATTAAAAAAAAGCTAGTATATATTTTTTTAATAAAGGTGAATTAATGATGACGAAAGAAGAAAAGACAAGAATACAGCCAGCATATTGAGGTGGCCACGTGTCACGAAAACCGTGTTAACCCACTGATTGTACAATGTACAGTACCTTCCTTCCCACGTACTCAAAAGCTGGAACAAAAAAATTATTTTATTTCATTTATCCTTTTACAATTAATTAATAATAATAATAATAATAATAATAATAATAATAATAATAATAATAATAATAGTCCCGTTCATCTGCCCACGGTGGGCAGGGGATCAAAATTTATAGTAATAATAAAATAATGGAAAATGCGTCACGTTATGGACCATTCCGTCGGGTTTGTAATCGTTAGATCATCATGTAACCAATTATCATGTAACAAACCCTGGCGCAATTGATTTCGTAACGAAGTCGTAACATCTTCTAATCTATATATATATAATTGCTGGCATATAAAATTTAATAAAACATTTAATAAAATCTCAATTCATTTTCCCGCTCATTTTTTTAATTAATGTAGAACCGTTACATTTTACATTAATAAGGTGTAATAATAATTTTAATATAATTTATTCACTACTAAAACTAATTGGTTACAACTTTACATTAAATAGATGTGGAAGTTACATACTTATAAAAAATTGTATTGCAATTTTTTTTCTTTAAAATACTTTTTCTAAAATAAAATATTTTTGTTTTTTTAAGCGATTTTTAACTAATAAGTTAATTGGCATGAGTGTCATAATTAAACACCTTAAAATCACATAAACAAATGCTATAACAATGATAAAAATAATTGTAATACTTTTCTAACTAATTAATTGTATGGTCTCTCTAAATTACTAACTTATATTAGCCATTAAAATTTATGGCATAATATAAAGATTCATACGTAAGTTAAATAAATTATATTTACATTACTTTACATGTAGTCCAAATTTAAAATGTAATGTCAATTATTTAATATAAAATTTGTATATATTGTATACATAAATATAATATATATATTTTTATTTTTCTTTGTGCATGTGCACAGGATGAATACTGATAATAATAATAATAATAATAATAATAATAATAATAATAAAGGGATTAATTCCAGTTTTCACTGCACACACCTCTCCCCTGGCACTGTGTTTTGTTGGATGCCCCATTGTCAGTGCTCGCCAGCTTTTCTCCACAAAAACTCCCACTAATTTCGTCCCCACACCAATATTTTGATCTATTTATTCACCAATAAATTTAAATAATTATTTTTCATTGGCACACACCTCGATTTTGTTGCTCTTCTGCGAGGAGGAGCCATGAGTCTCTTCGGCCTTGGCAGGTGAATTTTTTTTTTTTTTTTTTTTTTT